TAGAATCAACATAATTGATTATGACAATAATTTTTTTTTTCAAAATTTCATAATCTAATAGATGCTGAAACTATTATCTAGACATGTATAAATACGTTGTTCCTTTAGGCACCCATTCATATTTACCATTAGATATGCCAAAATGTTTGATGTAACATCTATTTGATGTATGACCTAATTTCATGCAATAAAAACATGTTGGTTTTCTTTGAAGAGGACTAAATGAATTTCTTAAAGTTCTTAAAATTGGTTTCACATTTTTTTTCCTTGCCTCTTTCACAAAAATAGTTTTATGAAGTTCTAGACTTTCTTTGGATTTGTAACCAAGTCCAGCTTTACTAGAATTCCCTCTTTGATAACCTAATATAGAATCAAGATTCTCAGAAGATTTTGAAAACTTGCTTATTATTTTCTCTAATTTGAAAATCTCATTTTCCAAATGATTACAATTTTCACAAGATTTAGCAACTTCTTTATTTTCAGACAAAGTTTTAAATTTCTCAACATCTTTCTTTAAGCACTCATTTTCTTTTTCAAGAATACCAAAATTATTTTCTAATGCATTAAACTTTTGTCTAAGTGTATTGTATTTCTTAGATAACTTGGTAAAACCTTCATACATATCTTGATATTCTTTAAACAACTCATCATATTCATTTAAGGATTTTATACTGCTTACTTGTGATGAGGTTTTTTGTGATGAGGCTTCATCATCACTTTTTGCCATAAAGCAAATATTTGCTTCTTCTTCTTCATCACTGCTTTCGGAAGAACTCTCTTGTATTGTGGAAGAATCATTATCCTCCCAATCAATATAAGATTTGTGTTTTCTCTTATAAATATCGTTCTTCTCTTTCTTCACATCTTTCTTTTATTTCTTAAGTTATGGAAAGTCTGGTTTAATATGGCCAGATTTTCCACATTCATAGCAATGATATTTATTTGTTTTCTCATTTCTTTGTTGTCTCTTTTTCCTGATCTTCATAAAGTGAGAAAATTGTTTAACAAAAAGAGACATATCGGAATCTGAAAACTTACCTTCATTTTCACTTTCATCTTGTGAAGATTTTTCTGCTTTTAGAGCTATCGTCTTGGTTTGATTTTGTTCACCATTCTTTAACCTTTGGAGCTCCATCTCATGTTCTCGCAACTTTCCAAATAGAGTAACAATATTCATTTTTGTGAGATCCTTTGATTCTGTAATAGCAGTGACATTTGGTTGTCAATTCCTGTCTAAGGATTTCAAGATCTTTGTGTTCAACTCGTCATTGTCAAAACTTTTTCCTAATGCTTTCAAGTGATTTACTATATGTATGAAGCGTGTCTGGAAATCTGTGATACTTTCATTCTGCTAAATTTGAAACAATTCATACTCCTGGATGAGTGTGTTTTTACGTGCTCGCTTTACTTCATTTGTTCCTTCATGTGTTACTTCAAGAGTGTCCCATATTTCTTTTGCCGTCTTGCATTGTGAGACCCTAAAAAATTCATTACGAGTTAAGGCAGAAACAATAGCATTTCGGGCTCTTACATCATATTGAGCACGCTTGTTTTCATCCGGCGTCTATTGGTCAAAAGTCTTTGGAACAGCTCTAGACTCTGTTGTTCTCATCGGAATGTAGGGACCGTTGAGTACAACATCCCAAACACCATAATCTAGATGCCATTTGTGTAACAGGGACCCCATGCCAAATTAACCAATAATGGATCTTCAATATTATTTTCTGGATTTAGAACCTAAAGACAACAAAGTCCTTTACACATTAGACTATGTAAGTCAGAATAAATATTTGTAAGACATATAAGTCAAAAACTTACATATTTTTTAAACCATTTAGGAAAATGGGATGAAATGTCTTGGTTAATTTGGGCACCAGAAATAGTAGGATTGAGCTATCTTAAATATTCAATATAAATACTGCAAACAAGTAACAAATTACTCAAACCACACAAAGTAACATGAGTAATTTTGATGTGAGAGGAGTGAAAACATCTTACTCAAAGTATGGTTGAACCTCTTCACAATTTTGAAGAACATATAATTGGGCAGCATCATAGTCTCTTTGGTGCAGAAAATATGTTTGGGATTTTCTAATTAGTCTTCCTAGGTAGTTGAAAATTGAAATAGGAGGAGGGGATGAAGAACCTTCACCTACATCAACATTTTTAGGAATCCTAGTCCTTCTTGTTTCAAAATGATCAGGATAATAAAATGAGGCAAATGTAGATGTTTCTTCCACCAAGTAAGCTTCACTAATAGAGCCCTCCACCCTAGCTTTATTCTTCACTTTCTTTTTTAGGGAGTGTAAGAATCTAAAAAAGAATACAAAAATGGAGCCTTTCAAGAACATATAAAATACTTTAGAAATGGAGGGTGAGTAGTTAGTGTAAACATACCTCTCAAAAGGATACATCCAACGATATTGAACTGGACCACCAACCTTTGCCTCATAAGGTAGATAAATTGGAAGATGTTCCACTAAATCAAAGAAGTTTGGTGGGAATATTTGTTCCAATTTACATAATAAGACAGGTATATTTTCTTCCATAACTCGTAAGTGTTCAACATTTAGTGTTGGGGAAGTCAATTCTCTAAAGAAAAGACTAAGTTCAACGAGTACTTTCCAAATTGATTTTGGCAATGAATCAAATGCAACTAGAAGCAATCGTTGCATGAACACATGACAGTCATGACTTTTCATACCATGTAACTTTCCTTGATTCAAGTCGACACATCTACCCAAGTTGGAAGCATATCCATCTGGCAACTTAAGTTCTTTAACCCAAATAGAGAGTCTTTGGGATTTGGTGAAAGCATATGATGCCTTTGGTATGATAAGTTTTCCACGTCCAATGTCTTTCAACTCTAGCTCTTTTCGATTACATATTTCAGCTACATCCAATCGAGCCTTGTTTGTATCCTTAGTTTTGCCTTTGATATCCATGACAGTGTCAAACACATTCATAAACACATTTCTCTGTGTGTGCATAAGATCAATATTATGACATAAAAGTTAGGTGTTCCAATAAGGCAACCTCCAAAAAATACTTTGTTTCTTCCAATTATGTGTAATATCATATCCTGCAATATTGTCTACTTGTTGTAATTTATAGCATACTAGTAAGTGTGCCACCCTATTCCAGACATCAAGACTAGATAAACGTGGAGGAAGGGGACCAGTCTCAACAACCTTCTTCTTGAATGCCTTTTTATTCCTCCTAAATGGATGATCTTGTGAAAGAAATTGACGGTGACAATCAAAATAGGAGATCTTGTGGCTATGACTAAGAGAAATGTCTTTGTTCTTTCCATACATATAGGACGAGCAAGTCTACCAGCAGTCGTCCAACCCGATAACATGCCATAAGCTGGGAAGTCATTAATTGTCCACATCAAAGCAGCTTTCATCATAAAATTTTTCCTTAATGACACATCATAAGTCAATATCCCTTCATCCCATAAGGTTCACAAATCATCTATAAGTGGTTACAAGAATACATTAATCTTATGCTTTGGATTTGAAGGAACTGGAATTAAAATTGTCAAAAACATAAATTCTCTCTTCATGCACATGGTAGGTGGAAGATTGTATGGAGTTAGGATAATCGGTCAATAGGAATAACTTTTGTCATACTGACCAAAAGGATTAAACCCATCTGCACATAACCCTAATCTGACATTTCTTGGGTCTTGACTAAACTCTGGGTGAATAGTGTTAAAGTGGTTCCAAGCTTCCCCATCCGATGGATGACACATAATACTGGGGTCCTTTTCATTCTCGTTATGCCATCTCATGTGAGGTGCAATGTCCATTGAAGAGTATAACCTTTTAAGTCTAGGAATAATTGGAAAGTACCACATTTTTTTAATATAAATCTTTTTCTCAACTCCCCTCCTAGTGACAATCTTGTATCGATCCATTCCGCATATAAAACAATTAGTTATACTTTTAGATGAATTTTCATTATAATACAACATGCATTCGTTTGGACAACAATCAATTTTGACACAACCCAAACCCAATATTATCACCGACTTCTTAGCTTGGTCAAAATTCGCAGCCATTTGATGATCTTCTGGCATAGTCTCTCCCATAAATTGGACCATTCTATTAAAACATCCTTCAACCATATTATAATAAGATTTCAAGCTTAGAGCTTCCAAAGATGCTGACAATTCAGAGTGATGTATACATCGTTCCCATAATGGTGCTTGCACAGTAGCAAACATGTCAAAGAATTTTTGAGTATCAGAATCAGGGTTTTCTACCATATCCTCTTCTCTAATTTCACTCTCGGCTTGAAGTTGGTGTCTAAGTGAGGGTCTGACATGATCCATAATCATTTGATGGAAAAGACCTAATTCTTCCCTTTGTTGAAAAGTTCCATGTAATCTCTCAACAACCATTGCGGGAAATTCCAGCGACTCTTCACCATGGTTTGGCCACCAATAATAATTAGGCATGATTCCCTCTTGATAAAGATCCCATGCAACTTGATCAACAAACTTGAAAACTTTACACTTACATTTAACACAAGGACATCTTAACATTTCACCTTGTTTTTGAAACATAGGTTGAGCAATAACATACTGTAGGAAATGATATATTCCTTCTCTAAATTAATTTGTTAGATGTTTGTTACCATCCAATCTTTGATACATCCACATTCTACCAACGAGGATCTCCATTCTTGCAAATTAACTACAACAATCAGCATAAGTGAAATTGCATTAGTCACTTTATTTGATGCAGTACTTATGTTTTTATAATACATTTTTCCAAGGTATTTATGGAGTACTTATCTAGTTATTTGATGCAGTACTTATGTAATACTTACAACATTGACATAAATAGTATTAAAGGTTAATCTGATTAAGTTGTCGTGCAATCTAAATCGCATAAATTGTGTGCAGTTTAGCCTAAATAGTCCGAAACACAATCCGATGATAATCGAAATGGAACCACAATAGAACAACCATCCCATGAGGCGCGCCGCTCATGGGAAGCACATGGGCCGCTGGCGGTGCGATGAGGAGGGACTCCTGTAGGGGCTCATCCCGGTGGCTGGTAGTGGTGGCTCGTGGTGGTTGTGATTGGGGTTTGGGGGGGTCCAGAAGGTAGGCGATTGGTGGTGTGCGGTGAAGACGGTGGTTGTGGAAGGTGGCCAAGGTCGAATAGGAACAGGTGTTTGGGGATTTTGATCAGGGGATGCGAACGGGGCGAGGGAGTTGGGAAAAGATGAGCGGGGGGAGGGGGGGCTGGCTCTAGTGGTGACGGTGGCAACAGCAGTGGGTTTGGGTTGCTGAGGCACAACAATTCCGGTGGTTGATTGGAGGAGAGTGAGATGCAGAGAAAAATGGGAAAAAAGGTGAATATGGTGATAGGAGGGAATAGGTGGACTCCGACGGATTCAAGAGGAGATGTCTGTGAGTGAGAAATGGGTTGTGGGTTAAGTGCGGGTGGAGAAAAAAATTGTGTGGAGGTGATGAAAGGAGAAGTGAATGGAAGAGAGGAAGAGTGGATTTGGGAAAGATCTAGGCCAGAGGAGAAGAGGAGGTTAATGGCAGGGGTGACAGGGTCTGCCAAAGGAGAAGAGAAAAGGGTATTTTGCTGCCACGGGTCTGCAAAGTTTAGGGTAGCTCTCTAAGTGAAGGATGGGGAAGGAGGAAATGACAAATGGGGAAACTCGTGTGGGCCCTATAGACCCCTAATCTTGCCCGACCTCAAAATAAAGACTAGAAGACCTCCTTTTCGAAGATGGATGAAGCCTAAGAAGCCACTAGAAGAGACTATTAGGCCCCATACTAGGATAGGAGGGATTTTAGGCACAAAAATAAGGATTTTCGCCTTTTAAGTTCGAGACCGCCATCCTAGATTCGGGACCGCCGTCTCACCTTGCGCAAATGGCGAGACCTCCGTCTCGTTTGGCGAGACCGTCGTCTCGCCATTCCTGCAAGGCGAGACCGCCGTCTCGATTGGCGAGACCGCCGTCTCGACCTTGTCAGATGAGACGGCCCGTCTCGACCTGACAGGCGCGAATCCCTATAAATAGGGCCCCCATTCCCATCATTTCACACAGTTCTTCCTCCTTCTCTCTAGAAATCTCTTCAAATTCTCTCTCTAGAATCCCTCCGAAGCATTTTTGGAGTTTCTGAGCCTTCTAAGAGTGTTTTTTAGCGTTTTGAGAGGTTTTCGACGCTGTGTAGAGTGAAGGACTGCCGCAAAGCACCCTATTTTCAGAAAGAATTAATAGAAAGCGTGCCTCGGAGGTTTCTACACCCTTTCTCTCTCTTTTACCGCTTTATTTCAATTATGCAATAGACCTAGGGTCATGTAGTCATAATCTTTAAAATTCCGCAAATAAAAGGGTAAAAGCGTATTTTCATCGGTTTGATTATTTTAAATAGCTGGCCTATCATAGGGAACCCGAAAGGGGCGTCGTAAAGGAACTAACACTTCCTTTACGCGTAACTAACTCCCTTACCCAACTCTGGTTCTAACGACCAAAGTTGGTTTTTCGAAAACCAACGCCTTTTAACCCCTTTACCGATGTTTCTGGTAAAAACAACGGTGGCAACTCCAGAGAACTCTTCAAAACTAGCTCTTGGATTAGCCCGGTTATCGGACAATCCAAGAGCACCCTTTCGAAAACCTCGCCTCTAGGTTCAACCCGGTTATCGGACAACCTAAAGGCGTTGTAACCACACCAATAAAAACGCAAAAATTGGAAAGTCGAAACCATCGCGTCGCTCCGACCACCTCGTTTTGACGGCGGCGACAGATGGCGACTCCGCTGGGGAAGCCTAGAGAGTTGATCCCATTTAGTGATGGGCCAGCTTAAAAATAAATAAACCAAGAAAATTACGCTTTTACCCTACCTTGTATTATAACATGTTTTATTGCTTGACTTTAATAACTGTTGTCTGTTTATACTCATGCAATTGTTTGAAATACAAATTGTACACAAACCCTTTGCACACAAAAGTTCCCTTTATACCCGGGGGCAAGTGAGAAATCCATAGGGAGTGGGTGGCAGGTACGGTTCGCTGTAGTGATGGCCTTGTGCCCACCGGTGTGATCGGAAACCACCACTCAAGGTGATAACCTTCCTCTTTTGGCACAAAGACTGACTATGACCTTAGTGCTAAGCATGGTCGGAAGGCTGGAGAGTGGGGACCCTATAATGGGGGCACCTTGGGGGTCTTAGCCTTGGTGAGAACAGTTAGAACCCACCTTTGTCAATGCACTTTTCTACAGGAAAATCCTACCTCGTGATTAAAAATGACTTCTCGCCTGTTCATGAATGATCGAATTGGGTGTACATTTGTTGCATTTGTCTGTTGCATAACATAACCAAACAACAGAAAAATCACAAAAAACATTTTTTGCAATAAACGCCCTTATCTCGGACAGTCTGCCTTTTAGTTAGCCTGGTTTCAGGTTCTTTGTAAGCTAAGTAGTCACGCAGTTCCGACAGAAGAGATAAGGGACGCTAACTATTCTTTCGCATAAAGCCATATTTTTATCTCGGACAGTCTGCCTTTTAGCTTTCCTGGTTTCAGGTTCTTTGTAAGCTAAGTAGCCACACAGTCCGACAGAAGAGATAAAAGGCTATAAAATAAAAATAAAGATAAAAATAAAAATCCAATAAAATTTTCTTTTCTTTTCTCAAATCCGAAACAATAAATGGGACCTTGTTCAGAAATATTACACTCATATAGGTAGTTTATTTAAAAAAAAAAAACACACAAGTATCATACAAAACATGATAAATAAAAATAAACACTCACATGCATCCAATAAGCATCATTTTCATAGAACATGCATTTTGGTTTTAGAAAATGAAGGGGACTAGTAAACAATTGAAGAAGGTGGATATTCCCCGATACCATACTGAGAAGTTGGAACGGCTTTGCGCAATAATGCCACCAGAGGTCCGCTCCGACTTTGAAAAATCCTATGGACGGATTCTCGACCTGCTGAAGATCTGTGTCGATCAAGTGTTCCTCAGGGTATTAATTCATTTTTGGAACTCCAGCCTGTGATGCTTCGAATTTTCGCAGTTTGATATGGTGTCAACCTTAGAGGAGTACGAAATTATGTTGAAATGGCCCAAATAAGCCGGGGTCCATATCCGCCACGGGGCGTATACTCCCGCAGCACAAATAGCTGCCATCATCCAACTGCCTTTCCGGCAGACTACCCTGATAGGAAAAGGGAACATCCAGGGTTGGAAAGTCTCGATGTTAGAAGACCATCTGTCCGACTTGGCTGAAAGGACAGAATGGGTCGCTTTTAACAAAAACCTGGCCTTAATCATATTTGGAATTATATTGTTTCCCTTCCACCTCGACACAGTGGATCAAGCCGTCATGGACACCTTCTTCGCCTGGGACGTGAACTCGAAGAGTCCCTTGCCTGCAATTCTTGCCGACACCTTGCTCTCGGTGGAATTCTGCCGCCAGAAGCAAGGAAAAACACTTTGTTGTTGCTCTTCACTGCTCTTCGTGTGGGGCATTATGCATTTTTACGCCTCTAGCCACATGGGGATGTTCCCCGACCCTTTGAGGAGCTTCTCCAAAATCCCCCTCCAGCGACGCTTAACTTCAGAGTGGAAGGACGAGTTGGAACAAAAGGACGTCAATGATTTATCCTGGGTTTGCCCTTGGTTCCGACCTGGCCTAATTCTCATCAGATGCGGAGACTATCCGAATGTACGCTTAATAGGACTCAGGGGTTGCATAGCCTACTCACCTAGAGTAGCTATGAGACAACTCATGAGAACCCAAACTACGATTTCTCGAGGGGAACTCGGAGGACTGTGTTTCTTCGGAGACCCATGCACAATCGCCAACTCACTAGCCGTGAGAAAAGCATGGGAGAAACCAGTCTTGAAAGTGATCCTAGCAAAGATCTCAGTGATTTGATGAAGTCAAAGATAAAGTCAAGGGTCAACTCTGCAGCTGTCAAACAAGTCACTCAGAACAAAGGAGCTGAAGACTTAGTGTGTCTTAACAGAAAGCTTAGGTAAAACCACTTTACCTTTTCCACTGCATAAAGCTTCTTCACTCAATTTGCAAAATGCCTCAAAAATAGTTTTAAACAAATCAAACAAAAGCATTTTGACAAAGAACTTTCTTAACAATGTTTTTAACTGATATAGTTTTGAAAGAAACAATTAAAAACACTTAGAATGTTTTAAAAAGTGTTTTTACAGTATTTTAATTGATACAAAAACCTTTTAATCGATTAAAACTCTTTATGACCGATTAGAATTCGAATATAATAGGTCAGAATGCAATATAATCGATCAGATCTTAAATATGAGCGATCAGAATTATTTTAATCGATTAAAACACGTTTCAATCGATTAAAATCACTTTGGATGTCAGGATGATCGATCAGAATGAGATTATGACCGATCAGAGTTGATTATGATCGATCAGAATTGAATTATGACCGATCAGACTTATTTCAATCGATTAAAACGCATTTCAATCGATTAAAATAACTTAGAAAATCTTTTCAATCGATTAAAACGAACTTTCAATCGATTAAAATGACTTGAAAATATATGTGCAGTTTTTTAATCGATTGAAACGACTTTATATCAGTTAAAATAACTTGGAAAGTTTTATAAGAAGGTTTTTAAACAAATCAATCGATTAATACGCGATTCAATCGATTGTTTTATACTTTGAAAATGTTTGTAAAACGTTTTAACTGATAAAAACGTGGGCGTATCAACTAAAACATTTTCTGTTAAAGATCATGAACGCATTAATGGGTTGAAAGGACTTTTAACAGATTGTAACGGCTATTTCAACAGATTAAAACAAACTTTCAACAGATTAATTAATGCAGCAGATTTGAAAATACTCTTTTATAAACAGATTTGCTTGAAACTTTGAGATATAGATCACATATCAGTTTTTACACAATTCAAGCAATCAATACAAACAACTATTAGCATTTTTCAAGAAAGATACACAACTGTTTTTGTGAACTTCTTTTGAAATCTTTCTTGAGGCACTTTGCATTTCTTTGAAGAAGATACTGACTGTGGATTGGTGTAATCCGGTTTGAGCTTTCTTTGTTTCTTCTTTTAAATTTCTATTCATTCATTTGTACTGTTTTGTACCTGGAATTTGGGTACAAGTTTTCTGCAGCTGTTGTAGAAAGTTGCCAAGAACTGGAATTTGGTTCTTGGTGGAAAGGTTAAAGCAAGAGCTGGAATTTGGTTCTTGTGTGTGGTGCCTGGAATTTGGGCACTGGTTTCTCTGCGGCTGGAATTTGGTTGCAGAGGTTTCCAAGAGCTGGAATTTGGTTCTTGGTGGAGAGTTAGAATAGGTGTAAGAGGGTGAGTCTGTAAAACATCTATTCTAGTGGAACCCAGCTGGAATTTGGCTGGAGACTGGACGTAGCCCTGGTATTGGGTGAACCAGTATAAAATTACCGGTGAAATCTTTCCTAACCTTTCTCTCTTTAATTTCAGTTGCTGCGCTTATATTGTTTGATTGCTTGGTAATTCAAAAAGATTTTTAGAAACTTAATTTTCGAATTAGATAATCTGAGATTTGCGAAAAACTTTCAAAAATCAATTCACCCCCCCTCTTGATTTAAAACTACTTTTCTAACAATTGGCAT